GCAGCTCATATATAGCAGTGACGAACAAAATTTCCTACAAAAGATCATTCAAAATGAGTTAAACAAGAAAACCCCGTTGGCAACTGAGAAACCATGTAAAAGAGGAAAAGAAAATACAAAAATCTAAGGAATCCATGTGCCCATTACTTGTAAACTTTTCTAAGCAACCAAACAGATAAAACCAGAACATCAAGGATAACCCAGAGCGAGAAATAAATGGAAATGAGTTCACGAGGTAAATACCCGCCCAGTAAAGAATAATGTTATGGGGTTGATAGAGATTATATGATAAATACATTGAGAGAAAATGTGAGTTAGGTTCAAAGCTGGTGAGATTTCTGATGAACTTTCACGGGTTCAAAGCCCAATAACACGACCCAGAAAGAAAGAGAAAAGAAAAAGAAGGAAAGAGAATTGAAAAAAAAAAATGGATGAAGGTTCTGTTTGGTTTGGTGTTTGGTGATTGATTCAACAAAGGAAGCTGGAGATAGATATGGATTAAACGTAGAACATCAAAAGTCAAAAAGAAAGCAGATATAGACATGGAAAGAGAAAAGAGAGCGTGTTGTTCTACAGTTAGTCTGTCTGTCTACTCCTACTTCACATGACTCCTTTTTCCTAAAATACCCTCACCCTGCCCCTTTATTACTAAATTGCCCCCATTAGTGGTTCATTGTACTCTTAATTAACAAAAACGAATTTACGGAAAATAAATAAATAAATGTGTTGATGAATATATTAGTTTTATATTATTTTAAAAAAAATTTGTAATTTTTTTTTTACAAACCCTTATCATTTTACATTTTGTTAATTAGATTATGAGAAAAACACCATTAAAAAATCAAATATTAAAAAAAAAATTCAAATTTAATATAATAAAATTGACCATGCCTACATGTTCCTAAGTGTGAACATATAATAAAATAAAAAGTAACTAATTAATTATATTATTGGAATTAATTACATTGTCAGAGATATAATTTTTTGTTGTTTCTTATCCACATAGGATAAGAATTGGAAAATTCAAAATAAATAAATTATTAATTGGACATAATTATTTTATTATCCTTTAGTGGTTTTATTATTATTATTTTTTTGTTGAATTTATTTTAGTAAAATTATTATTTTAATGTTTAAAAATTAAAATGGGTTATGAGCTGTCAGAGAATGATGATTAACATGCGGGCACTTTAACCTCAAAGCCGACAAAGCACGCGACAACTCGACCGCGCCAATATTATCCGACCTGGCATCCCCTCCGTTTTCGATACGACATCCCTAAACCCACTCCTCGTTCCGTTACGTTTCGAATCCCCACATATTTACCATATTACCCTTCCCTTTTAAATTAATTAATACTTAATTTAATACTAATTTAATTCTGTAATATTTATTTATTGTTGTTTGAAAATTAAGCCAATAATATTTTGAATATCAATATAAAATATTTAAGAAATATTATAAACAATTAGCCTTTGCGTGTTTAACCATGTAAAGAAAATGATTGTTTGGCCTAAAAACATATCCTAATTCAATAGTGAGATGAAGATACTAGGATAAATTTGGTAATTGGGGAATATTTCTTTTAAAAAATTTATTTATTTATTAATAATTAACAATAATACCAACAAAATTATAACGTAAAATTGATATTACGATCATTATCATCGTCACTCTTATTGTTACTATTAGCTTCACCCTCATATGCTACCATTACTATTATCCTAATTATCATTACTATAATAATCTATCTATTCCAATTCAACTATCTTAACTTATTTTTATATCAAGCTTTAAATGTGATATAAATCTATGTACTAAAAAGAAGAAATTTCAACTATTACTTAATTGTATGATTGATACGTTTACTCCTTTATAAGAGATTGTAGGTTTGAATTT